TTTGAAATCTGCAGAAGGTGCTGGGTGGAAAAAGCCAGGCATTTATTCAGAAGTCACAGCATTAACATGAACAGCAGAAGTTAAATACAAGATAGATATACAGACTTTGACTTCAAGGAAGCAACTCTGTAAGAGAACCACAGCAAAACCTGGAAGAGCAAAGATAATAAAAACAAGTGTATCTCAGTCAGCTGGCAGAGGAATCTGCAGGCCAACTGTAGGGCTCCCCGCCTCCAGCTGGCAATTCACTCCAGATGCCCATTAACAGGTTCTCTTGTGTTTCAAGATGTCCCACCCGCGATCATGCCAGAAGTGCTTTCCCAGTATTTTGCAATCAAAAGGCTGAAGACGTGTTTCTCCTCATTTTACTCTGTATAAACTTGCCCTATCCCTATCACCCAGCTGTTGAGTGGACCTTATATTCATAGCTACTCGGGACACTGGGGAGCACCTGCTGCCTGACCTCCTCTCATACCCAGACTTTTGCATTGCCTGGCAGGCCTAGTACAACATAGTCCAAAGCAGTGCACACTTTCTTTATACCTAATACATCCAGATGTGACTGTAAAGGCAAAGAGTCTCAAAAGGTCTTAATATTGGCCTACTCCGGCCTCTAGTGAACTCCGCTCTTGTACTTTAAGTGCTGGCCCTAAGCAAACAAAATAATGCTGCGCTCATTGAAAGATCCATCATGATCCCATGAAAGCACTGGTGATGGAAAAGAATGTGATGCTTTGTTTCATTTCTAATGCTTCTAAGCTTAGATCTATGTCATTATGTAAAGTATTTAAGGTTCACTAAAAAAATGAGACAGTTATTACACAGTGTCAGAAGTGGATTTATGAATACTTATGTGACACAGAGATTGAGAGGCCAAGATGCAATACATAAAGATTCTTAAGAAAAGTGGTCGTAACTCATACAGCTATTATTAACAGAGATAAAAGGGCCTGTTCTCCTGGTTACACAGGTAATGGTTTCTTCGGTGTCAATCTTCCTGTAGGCTGTAATGTTAAAGGTCAAACACACCACAGATAGTACAGATCCAAAAGTTAAAGACAGGTATAACGTGGTGTCTAAGGAGAAAGGTCTGGAAGTCTGATTCTAATGACCCATCTCTGCTTACAGCTGTATCACCTAGAAAAACCATGGTACATAATCACTGAACCTGACCTACTGGCCTCCTGCCATGACTCTGCTCTGTACCTCTCCAGAGGTATGTTATTTCATCATTTGGTATTTAAGTGTCTGACAATTTCCTCAGAAGCAGCTGGTATAGATCCTTGCAACACGCAGGACGTACTGCCAGCTGATTCAGTATCCTGTTCTGTGGAACGGTTCCCGTTTTCCTACATAATCCTTAGGTAAGACGTTTTTGCTTTCTAAGTAGACCAGCAGCTTTGAAGTGAAAAAGAGTCCATTCTTCAGCCCCGCCCGTGAAACTATTGTTTACCGGAGTACATAAACTTCTGTGATATTGTTATATTTCAAGAAAACCTTTAACTACTCTGTAATATATTCTTTCCTCTTCTTTTATTAAATACAATCTACATAATCCTTTGCAACGAAGTTGAGACAGGTGCTGCAAAGGATTGACTTTTTACATTTAAGAAAGATGCTGCCAATACAAAAGTGGTGATCTTGGATACTGATCAGAGGTTAAAGGAATTGTAACACACACCCCCCACACACACCCACACCCACACCCCAATTCCAAACACCCATTCCCCCACCACTCAAGAAAAGATTGGCCTGGACCAAATGTAAAGATACAGAATTGAGGTTTAGCAAGCCTTACCACAATATAAAATTGATTTTGTTGATTTCACAAAATGACTGAGAATAGAGAGATTTAGAATGTTGAAAAGTGAGATCACTCTTTAACAGCACTTTACTGTAAAATGGTGGTATGGATACTGAAAAAAACACTATATAGATATTAGGCAAGAATTATAACAGAAAGACACTGGCTGCCTTTGACACAACTGCTTACTGAGCTGTAATTGCTAACATGTAGGATGATCTGACATTCAAGACTCAGTACCATGTCATGAAAATCCTCAGGCCTTGCTGTTTTCAGTTCCATTACCGAATAGCGTCAAGAAATACCTCTGTTTTCATGCTACTGGCATCAAACACATTGTGGTATCTTACATTAATTTCTTTGAAAAGGAGAAACGCATATTTAAATAACACCATAGAACTAAGCCTTTGTCTAGATAAATTACAAAAGCATTCTCTAAATATATATGAAAACAGTGATTGCAAGGAAATAATTTGTCTTCAATTATTGTTATCGAGGAGTCCTCTGTCTTCCTCTCACTAGCAATAATGCAAAGCTGATTCCACTCCACCTACAGCCAAGTAAGCATGTTTAAAACCTTCCTGCTTATCTGTGATTGCTTCCTATTCACCTCCCAGAACAGAATTTCAAGTCTCAACATTTAAGTAGGAAAGGCACAGAGAAAGGCGATAAGAATGATAAAGAGTTGTGCAACAGCTTTTGGCTGGGGAATGACTGAAGAGAGAGTGACTGTTGGGTGTCTCTTCCAGTATCTGCAGTGGCGCTATCAAATGAAGCTAGCAGAGACAGGTTCAAAAGAAATGAAAGGTGTTTTCTTCCTTAAGACACATGGAATGGTGAAAAAGCCTGCCAGAGGAATTTTTTAAAAAGCAGTTAGGCAAAAGTCCACAGAGGCAGAGAAATATGAAAGACTGATAGACCAGCAAGTCTTTGAAAATTGCTGAAAGCTGGAAGACTATTTGGGAAAGTACTACTTTCTAGTACAGTACTTATTCTTACACACACCTCTAGGCAACTACCAGTAGCTTCAGAGACAGGAATCAGAGTTAGTCATTTAGCCTGGCCCAGTCCAACCATTCATATATACTTACCTCCAAAAACTGCTGGAGGATTTGCTTCACACCAAACAGAATAATTTAACACTACAGGTATTAGCAACATTTCTAATCCTTGTAATTTGTACTAATCCAAGTATCTTTTCTGAAGTGCAGTATAAAAAACCCAAACAACTGAGCAGCCTGAAAATCCAAACGGTTTCACACCTTCCAGAGGTGTAGTCAGGGCAACAGTGCGGGACACCAGCTGCTCCAAGCAGCCCACTTCCATAGTTAACATACGTAAAAGCTGAGAAGCTCCCACTACATCCTGGCCAAGGGTACAGCTAGTTGTTGTTCTGATCGCTATCAAATCTCACAAACTCTGACCTCTGTCATAGTATTTAATGTATTTTCTTCCATCTAGTTGATTTCTTCTGTGGCCAAACTAAAAGTTGCCATTCGGCTTGAGTTGTCAAATAGAAGAATACTTCAAGAAACACTTTGTATTGTAGTTGCTCATCGCTTTGAGCAATATATCTTTTTTTTTTTCTTTAAAACAGTCTGTCACCAGAGCTGCTTGCTTGTCCTTTATGAAACCTTAATCTAGGAAATAATCTGTAGAACAATTCCAACATTTATTATGAACCCTTAGGTGATCATGACTAAAAAGAAAGACATATTAAGTATTTTTGTGTAGGATCCACATGACTCGCTTTTCTTAGTATTTAAGCAGAATTAATTGCTGAAATATCTCTCATTAAATGTGCCTGTAATTATATTTGAAATTGCCTATGTATTACAGAGCCAGCTTGGAAAGTACCTTGAGAACAATTTTTGTTGCATGTTGCAGTTTTGGCTACAGATATATTATATAAAAAAAAGTAACAACGAAAACGCATCAGACTTGCGCAATATTCCAGAACATTTGAATAATTACATACAACCAGAATCTGGACTACTTTTAGGATTGCTCACACTCAGGGCTTACGTTTTTCTGCATGACAATGGTTGTTTAATTAGTACATGTTTAATCAATGGAAGTGATAGCTATGCACAAGCTATACTGACCTGAAAGCACTATTAATTTTTTCCTTACAAAAGGTTCTGATTACTATTTGAAGAAATACAGCTCTCAGTGAAAGTAATATTGTTTTCAAGAATATTATATTTGCAGTTTTAAGGATTAAATACAATTGCAATAAAAAAAATACTGATCTAGTGTCTAACAAATCAGAAAGATCCAAATCAATAAGGAATTGAAATAATACGCTTTCCGCCCACCAAACGAGTTCTGCAACTAATACTACACCATATCAAAAATACTTTAAAGGTTTTATAAAGCTTTTTCTTACACACTTTTGTAAGAAAAATCCATTAAGACATCCCCTTAAATGCATGTATCTCCATTTTGACCTCCACTTACATATCCCAAACTTGCCACTTCCTTGACAACCTCCCCTACCCATGCACAGTGCTGTGGTAGTGTTCTTACGTTATTAGGCTGGATGGGGTTTCTCTTCCCCTTTTCGAAGGCAGAATTTCTCTGTTTTTGAAGAAAAGCAGGTCAGAGTGTTATCTGCTATTTTTCAGGATAATGTGGGATGTAACTGAGAACACCTATATGCATATATAAATCAACATCTTGGTTACTATTATATTATCCAAATTGTATGAAGCCAAAACTAATACTAATCTCTGTTAAGCAAGCATGCTGACAGATGGCAGCAATCTAAACTGAGAATAGCACCAAAAATACATTGCTCAGAAGCGAAAAAGAACGTACTGAGAAGTATTATGATCTGTTTTGTTACTTGAAGATCATAGTACATCCTAACTCAATGAACTCAGTAGAACCACTTGCAGACTGAGGGGCATTTTACCTTGTGCTGTGCTGTCCAAATCTTGTCTTTTTTGGCATCTGAAGATTTCTTCTCTGAACCACAGAAACCGGGATGCTTATTGGAAGATGTCTAAAAAACACTGATACTTTAGTATCGGTATTAGGAGCCAGGCAATTGTGCCACCCTTCTGGTAACCCTGGAGACTACTTGTACTAATCCCTGCTTTTCAAGGTTCTGTGGCCTCTAGCATTGCAGTTCTCATAACTGACTTGCTCACTTTGAATGGCTTTCAAGTTTATGTCTAAGTGCCAAAAGTCATACAGAGAATAAACAACTTTATTTTATAACAGAATTACAGAAAGCAAAATATCACTTAATACAACTTCAAGCTGCTATAAATCTAATTTGGCATTTTAACTATACACAGAATCAACAGCAAAAAAACCCCGAACAACCAGCCCCCCTGCAAGAACAAAAGAAAAATAAAATCCAAAATAATTAACAGGTTTTCTCAATGGCAGTCTCAAATGATGGTACTGTCTTATTACCTTATGAATGAAGTCCACCGTACACTGACTCAGTATCCTAAAAACCTGCATTAACCATCAGATGAAGCATCTGAAACATATACCTTCTCAGTAACAGAAATGTCAGTTCTAACACGGAGACGGTGAGGTTTAATAGAAAGCAAGCATTCTACACGTATTCAAATAATGGAAGTGTTGAAGTTTGGACACAGTAAGAAAGAAAGCACTAAGGTTTTAAGCTGCCTAGATCATCTCTTGTAGGAAGAAGAGAAAGATATTTTGTTCTTCCTTCTTCCCTTATCTGGAATGCTGCAGACAGCAAAACGTCTGCAAAAAGTTGAGCATTGGCACCAAAGTGCAAAAAGAACACAGTGCTCAGTCAGAAGAAATGTGTCTGCAACTCCTTCTCCTCTACAGACTGCTGCACCATCTCTGCTCCACAGAGAGGAGAACCTTAGAACAGAAAGAGTTACAGAGATATCAGTATAAAATTTATCCAAAGAAATATATTTTTTCAAATTTTAGGAAATGTTGTATTTTTATAAAAATCTTTGTTATGTGATACCATATAGTTACCTGAATAATCTGGAAAAAAAAAAAAATCTGTAAATAACTCCAGTAAGAGATTTCACTTGAAATATCTGGAAAAAACTATATCTAAATTAGTTAAGATCCCCCTTCCTGCACAATTACCACCTGCTCCAGTGAACAATGCTTTCCAGGCTTCTTTTTTGTTCACTTTCATATAATTAAGAATCGGCTTCAAAAATACAAGTATTTGTGCAAAAGAAGATCATACCCCCTAAAACTTCATTTAAAAAAATCTAAGATTGTTAAGAAGTGGTTATAAAAAATAAACAAGAAAGATTGTAAGGGAATATAGACCAAAGATGTTAAAATGGAGTTTGGTATTGGCATTTAAGTCTTGAACATCTGGTCATCATTGCTAGGCGTGGTGAATTCGGTAGAGTAGCGATGACTTGGAATGATTACAGTTCTTCATGGTCATGATCGCGGTCAGTATCATTTTTAGTTCTGGAAGAAAAAGGAGGGGGATGATGACATAAGCGTTCATAACGGATACTATGTGAATGTCACACTATCAGAGTCAAAAAGTCATTTTTCCCATATATGTTATTTTGGGGGAAGGTTATCTCATTAAAAAATGTTGCATTAACTAAAGCTCCCTTCAATCGTGAGGTAAACAGTAATTCAGTTTCTATCAATATTTTTCTTGCTTTAGTGTATTTTTTCCCTCCCCAAAATTCTCACTGTATTTTAAGTCACCTCTTGCACAGTTTACTGAAAATTTTAATCCACAATCTAGTGCATAAATAAAAAATGAAGATACTCGTTCAATTAATAATCCCTCAGAGTGCAATATCGCTCACTTTTATTAGAGAAAACAAGTCTACACAAACAATACTGCCGTAGTCATCGGGGCAGAGCTTTCATCACCTTAGAAACAACTAAGCAAGATTTGTGGCATGACTCCATTGCCTGAACACAATTGCCCAGAGGCGTTTCTGCAATCCCACCTGCCCTTCAGTTGCTGCTACAGGAGGGCATAGGTCTCTTGATGCTCCAAGCTGCAGACAGATATTCAAGGCACTTCAGGTGGCCTGTGTTTAGACAACTAATTCTTTCCTTATTGTTTAACTGAAAGGCATCATCAGTCAAACAAGTCACCAGGTCTCAAACACAAGAGCAGCATGGTGAAACGTCTTCATATCAGTCCTCTTTTACTCTCTCACAAGCATTTCAGACCAAGAGCTGTAAAGCAATTGGCAAACTCAGACAAGAATATCTGACACTCCGATACACTGCAAACACCATTCCACAATGCATGTATTTCTCAAAAAAGAAAAAAAACCACCCTCAGCAGACAGAAGGAATTCTTTGAATGTTTTTTCTGAATAAGATTTTTACAAAGTAGTTAAATATTTGATGAAGGAACAGAATCAACTTTGCAGTTAGTCACTGAAGTAGAAATGTGGTGCAAACCTGCCAAGATGGTTTCTTCCTCCCATGACAGAGCCCCTTCAAGAAAGATGTCATAATTACTTATATGGGATAGCTTATGTTGAACACTGATTTGAAAGATACTTTTCTGGATTAAGGTAGCATGAAGAAACCGGCACATTCCGCACAAATGTAACAGAAGAGGCAATCCCTGCTCCCAAGACTTTTAAATTCACGCTGATTAATAATAAATGAAAAATGTGATGGTAGCACATATTATAATACTAAATCATTGCGAATCAAAATTATCTGTTCTGCTGTCTCAGTGTATCTTTCTACCTTAGATCCTGCTACGTAAATGCTGAAAATATGAGAAGAGTGGTTTGAGCATGCATGTTTAATGTTGCTGTGTACCAAGGGACCAGAAATCACCTAAACCACAGACATTCTCCTTGCTACAAACTAATAGCTCTCTCAAAAGTGATGTGGATTTTTCCAAGCCCTTCTGGAGTTGCCTATAACCAGCGCAACAGCAGATTTATTCAGTGTTCACTCTGATCTTTCTGTTGAATACATCAAGTTGAGCAGGTTTGGGTTTTTTTTCTTTTTTTTATTCCTAGAAATGAGGGCCTAATAAACCGACATTCCTTCAAATACCTCTTTTGACTGATAAGAGGCTTTAAAACTTGAGTTTGCAATGCATTGACCTCCTTGCCTGGGAAAATGATAAAAGATTAAATATTTCAGCGTGCTTAGGATTAAGAATTAGCTGACTAAATTAAAATGTCCAAGCGTGCCCTTTCACTACTGGGAACTGCACATAGTCTTCCCACTACACAAGCAAGATGTAAGGCAAGGACTGTAATTGTACAAGTAAACAGAAAAATGTGACACATCCTTCATGTTTTGCAGAAACAGCCCAAACTCGCTTCAGTATAAACTACAACAACTTGACCAAACATTGCAGGAAATGCCATGAGAGTACTGTGACAGAACTGGGAGACATATACAGGAAAATCTGCAATTAAAATTAATGTCACATTGGACTTAAGATAAAAATTCTTACACTTACAGTCTACTGTTAGCGCCTGTTTCAACTCACCATTTTGTGATAGCATGTATCAAAGACGCCCCATATTTTTCAAGCCTTTTATTACAGAATGCAACAGAAAACTGATGCTACATTTTCCTATATTAATTATATACATAAGCTTACCTGAAGTGTTTGCTTGAGGGCATTTTTGATTTTACTCTTCATCTTCCTCAGCAAGTTCAGTTTCTTTGTGCACCACCACTCTTGTGACAGACATGTCAGGGTGCTGTTCTTTGGCTTCTTTGATTGCCTGTGCCAGGGCCTGCAAATGTATTCGAAATTTGTTAACTCAACAACAGCGAAAGGACATTCATGTGGGGCCAGAGAATGGGAGAGTAGCATTGGAAATTTTGGTTATAATGGTTCAGAACTCTAAATTCCTGAACTTGAGAGGGCTCAGGGGTAAAAAAGAAAAAACAACAAAAAACCAAACCCCAAAACCAACCAACGCCCAAAACACAAAACCCACCCCCCAAAAAAACCCCAACCAAAACCACTATGCTGAAAATTTACCAAAATTTCCAGGAAGTAACAAATAACCATAAAGTTATCTTGTAACTTTTCTAGCTCATTCCAGGAGACAAAAAGTATTCTTATACCCCAGAAGTTCCTGAACTTCTGCAACAGATCTAGCAAATAAAGACTTAACAAGAACATACACAGTACAGAAAAATAAGAGTTCCCTTCAGTTTCCTGAACAAAATGGAAAGATACTTTGGAATGTGTACTAAGTATGGTACTGAAACTCTGGAGGAAGATCATAACAGAAATTTCTTTCTCAGCACAAGAATCTCCTTTCTCTCCTTTTACTAGTTTAAGAGAACTTTCTCTAGTTTAACTCAGGGAAGTGTAAATATAAGTATTACTCAATCCCTTATAATCCCTCCTCCACATTTTAAGAAATTTTACCTTCTTAAGAGATGTACCAATATACACAGCTGGCAGTTGGACTAGATGATCATTGTAGGTCCCTTCCAACTGAAATATAATATTCTATTCTGTTCTGTTCTATTCTATTCTACACAAGGCTTTAAAGTCACCCACATAAGAGCACCTGCTGAGGCAGAAGAGGTGAAAGAGCACCTGGGACCTTCTATTTCTTCTCCCGATCTGAATCTTATTTCAGTGAGCTGCATTACTGTTGGAACCCAACACAAGAAAAAAAAGAAGAAACTGGAAGGCATTCTGAGGCAACAGTAAGCTCACTGTTCACCTCAGTATCAACTACAACTGGAAAAAACCAAATACACTAGAAGGAGCAAGAAAAATATAATGCAACAAAAAGGTTTATCTTAATTTAGAAAAGTGACATTTTCCTGAGCCATAGGTGGTAAGTGGGAGAAGAAAGAACTACCTCTGAAGAGAGACTGGAAACACCAACATTAGCCACCTTAACTATTATACGATAATGAATTCGAAGCCCTATTAAGGAAATACGTGCAGAAGAACACACAGTGTGCATTGATACAATACTGATGTATTAATCCTAGCAATTTTTTATTAGTTTGTCTTTTACAACATGCCAAGTGTAATCTCTGTGGTACAAATGAGGATTTAAAAGAAAGTGGCTGTTGAGATTTAAGAATCAGTTATAATCAAACCACAAACAATGAAAAAACCTTAAGTCTCTAATTGTTAAATTACAACAAGTAATGCAAGCATTTGTATTCTGAAACTCCAGTATTCAATAAAATATTATTTTCCTATTGAAAACTGTTTTAGTGATGTAGGGAGCTAAAAGACAAAAGAATAAACATCCAGCATGTAGATTGTGCATCTAAAGAGCTCCGTATCTACTGAAGAAAAAGTGGCAGACATTTCTTAAATCTGTTAAAAGCTGCTCGCTGCTGCTTTAAACTTCAGTGATTAAAATCCCATTTTGTACTTCCTTTTTTATAATTTCATTTTTTATTTCATTACCCACTTACCTCAAAACAAAGAATGGCTCAGAGAATGGTTTTACTAAAGCATTGTCTGGTATACTAAAGGTATTGTGTGACCTTTCCAGATGTCTAAGTGCACTGAATGTGTGTCAAGGCAAACAAGAGCCATGCCTGATGCTGAACAGCCCTGTCATTTAATTATGAGTTTCAAGAAGAGATTCAACTTGTCAGGAGCCACTTTCTGGAGGCAGATCAAAATGTTAAATTAAATTCCCCAAGAGCTCTTTTAAATTAAATCCTGTTATGTTGATATGTGTAGGTTTCATGAAGTTAGAATTGGATTCACTGCGACTTTATGTAGAAGGTAGGCTTTTCCATTTCTATTATCCAGTGCCTGTTGATCGACTTTGAAACTATAGTTTCTTCAATGAAAAAGAATAAAAATTGTGTAATCATCACTACAAAGAATAGGTAATTGCACTTTCTCAATTATTTTTCTGCGTACTGCTTAAATTCAGCTTTCTTAATTGGGCAGGTAGAAGTGATTTTAACCTTAGTTTCTAAGACGTCATAAAATACTGCTTTGGTACTGATAGAGATGAAAGGTACAGCAGATCAACAATTACTTTTGTTATACAGAATTCTATAAATACAAGTCAAAACCTATTTTTCAAATTCAAGCCATTTATGCTTTAATGTATTTCAAAGCTTTCAGTCAAAATGAGTGCCGCATTCAGATGTTGCTGACACAATGCAGTAGAGACTCCCATCTATACAGATTAATGCATCAAAATAAGATTATTTTAGTAATGCTTTTCCTCCCAAATGGCAAAAGCAGCACTAAACAAATTGGGTCTCTTCCAAAAAAAGAAATCCCTTTAAAAATAGTAAGAAATCCATTCACATGATCTATGATGCAAAGTTACAAATACTGTTTTTCTTTCAGTTATATTCTCAAGGCTCCTTATTCACAAAACATGATCACTCTAACAACTTTGCCACAGTTAACAGTCTCGGGGTCTTTCTATGTCTTCTTATTCAACTTCTCTACCTTTCTCTTACCTCAGGTTTCTGAAATATCATCTAGATCTCACTGGACTACAAAAAGCACACTGTAAGTGTTAACCGCTTACATACTCACCTCATCGTGGTCAATATCTGCATCTCCAGTAATGACAATGCGTTTCTCAATTCTTGTTTCTGATACCCCACCTTTTACCATCTACAGATGGCACAAAAAAATAAGAAAACATCCTTGTAATTATTCCATATTGCCACAAAGCACTCCTTTCTGTTGCACTGAAGCAAATACATTTCTGTGACTGAGTTGCAATTAGTGGTAAACATTCTCAGTGCTAAATCATCCTTTCCTTTTTCAGTTACGCAGTAACTCACATTCTAGAAATTGCTAGACTTGATAAAAACCAACTAATAGAGAATTCCTTCTGTTACTGGAGCCCAAGTTCGAACAGATCTAGCTATGCAGACAAACTGGAATTCCAGCTTCTTCCACCATATAAACCTGGCAACAAGGAAATCCCAGAGTCTTTTCTTTGATTTCAACGCATCTATCATGGGCCTCTTCTTGGTCTCTGAAGAATCCTATGCCATTAAATACAAAGATGATCTGGTTTTCAGTTCTGCTGTTCATGAACCTTAGTGAGATATTTTCAACATATTTCACATTGCTGATGGAAATAATTTTGTGTTTTGTTTCTTTATTTCTTACTCTAATGATTAAAACCTTTTAGCTTATAGAAAAATTCTCACAGAAATAACTTTTTTTTTTTAAATCAGCCTGTATAAGAGAAAAGAATAAACTGCCACTTAAGATACACTGACCGTATTAGAATAGATCCAAGATGATTCTGTTAAGAACACCATTTTTATTAAAACTATTTTGGCAGGTCCCTTTATCAATAATGAACAGTTTGGGATGTAAAACAGAAAGTTAGTTTAGAAAATTCAGTCTTTTGAATTGATGATAAGCAGTCTGTAAGAAAAGATAAGCATCTGCTGCATTATGGTAATCCCAGTAATTTTTTAGTAGAAGGCAAAACTGAAACCATTTTCTTTAATGGTTTCTCCCAAAAAGCAGCATTATTTGACATTGGAACTTGACAAGTAAATGTCCACTTCCCTCCACCCCCCCCCCAAAGCTGTGGTAGCACAATTTATTGAATAAAGACTTTTTCCTAAAATGGTGGTGGCTTAAAGGTTCCAAAAGGGAGCAGGAGACTGAAAAGGACCTGTTAACTAGTCTGTATAACAAAACATACACATTTTAAATTCTGAGCTTACTTTATTTTATGTGACTTTTATCTGACAACTTTCAAAAATCATCCTTCCACTGTCATTCTGTGAATACAACTTTCAATCTTAAGAATATTTCAATCTTAAGAATATATATATTGAATATATATCCAGTGAGCAGTGAATTATTGTTCCATTCTGCGACGATGTGACACTTCTTGTCTCAGAGGGGAAAAAAATCCCAAACTCACACCTTACGTATCCTTCTTCCCTTTTGCTTCACCCTAAACAATGCTTTCTGTAATTTTCTTGGAAAACTATGTTAAGAGTTCAATGACAAGAGCTCAAAACTGTGTTGCTGGGGCACACCTGAAATTTGATAAATACTTACATAAATTAGTAACAACAATCATCATCATCACCACCACACTTTGGTAGTTCTAACATACTCTGGCATGAAACACTATGTGAGACTATAACAGATGTGATGTCCTGTTAACACTGAGTTTTCCTTTCCTTTTCAAGCATGGAATGCAGAGCATGTAATTCAGCACCAAAATATGCTTGCAAAGTGATCTAGTGGTATGGTCTGTTTTTAAATGTGTTCTAAACCTAGCAGCACAAGGATCAACAACACTAAGGCTGGGTAAACATTGTTTCAGTTCATCCTTACAACAGATGCCATTAGCAGAGCTCCTGCAGACCTCAGACAAATCAGTTACATTAACAAAGGTTCTGTAAGATATCAGTGAGTGATGACAGGACTGAAACTGTAAAAAATTTAGGTACATACTCATTTGTCAAACACAGATATAAGACCTATATGAAGTACTAAAAAAACTGATGGTATTTTTCTCCCTTTCCCTGTCCTGTTTCCAGATATTCCTGCTTATTCATTAGGGCTTCTCTGTTCAAAATCTGTGTACAGAAAGATTAACTCTCACACATGCCTGGAATGAATCCAATCCGTTTCAAGTCACCTTGCTTCAATAAATTAGCAGATATATGAGAAACTTCATGTAAGACTTTATTTTGAGGGTTTGTTTGTTTTTTTTAGTTCAGAGAGACATTATGATATTTTACCTTTGTGATGTGTGTAGTTGTGGTAGTAGAAATTGACTCTGATGTAATTGTCTGTGCACTCAGCAGCACACCAGCATTGCCACCAGCACTGCCATCAAACTGTAAGGAAAGAAAATGATGTTTTTGTATTTTGGCACTTAAAAGCTTTGTTTTCACAGGAGATAAGGATGGTTTTCTTACTAAACACATTCTTTAGTTCAGTTAGAACTGAAATCTAAACAGAAGCCATCTGAGATTACCGAGTCATGTAAGACTGTTGTTATAGTTCATTCTTGTGGAAAATTTACCATCAAAGCTACATGTTCCTTTCAGGAACAATGAGATATTTTAATCAAGTTTCCAAAACTAAAAATGAGTTGTACATTTGCAGACAGCAACTAAGTCCTTATATATAAAAAAAAACAAACAAACACTTAGAACTTTAGGAGTAATACTGCTTTGTCTACACACATTTCACTTACCTAATTCATAGCCAAAGTATAATCCTAGGTGCTAGAAAAAAGTATAGGTTTTTGAAAAGCATTTTTTGGACATTATCTATTTTGATCTACAAGTAACTGGAATAAAAACCAACTTGCAAACAATATCATAACCCAGCCACCATACCTGTGGAGATTCATATGTGATAGTTTTAGTTTCTGTTTGAACAATTGGAACTTCTTTAGTGGAGATTTCAGTTCTCTGTGTGGCATCTGAAATGGTTACCATCTCTGTTTTCACTACCGGAGGCTGTGGTGCAAGAAATAACCAATCAATTCAAAAGACAGAAGAAGGTTTGTGAAGTGGACCAAGAAAACACAACCAAAAACTCAAGAAAGGCATAACAGTAAGGCGAGTATTTGACTGTCTTCCCAATCAAAACCCATGCAATACATAAGCAAAGTGAAATGAAGACTAATATACTAGTCGTCTAGCATCTAAATAACGTGGTTGGAAAATTTAATCTCCTAATAACCTTGTCAGACTTCTGTGTTTGAGTCAACAGTACATATCACAGAAGGCAACTGCTAAAACCAAGCCGCAACACAGGTACTGAAAATGTGTAAAAGAGCGTCACTAGGAAAAAAAATAAAATCTTAGTTTGCGTAAAGAAGCCGATAACTAGCTCAGATGGATAAGCTTCATATTAATCTAGGAAAAAAACTATCATTGCTCAGTCAAACTGCAAATCAGGACTAGAAATTCCAAGGAAATTACATAAAAGTTTAACTTTGTAATACATACTACTTCCGGAACAGAAAAACAACTTTGACAATTGGATTTTAAGCAGTCTACATTCAAGGTAGTAATTCTGGAAATCAATGGCTTCTTTTGACAACAATTCTAAAAAGCCATTTTAACCATTTAGAGTTAGCCAGTGGTGTTCTCTGCAATATCACAAAGAAAGCAATTATCCAGGGGTCTGTAAGCCAGTGAACTTGTGACTTATCTAATTGGAGCAGATTTTCAATATATTTAAGAACTTAAAAAAAAATAATCTGGTAAAGCCTTTTGATATTCTTCTAGATGCATCAGTTGCTATCTCCCATTGGTTTTGGATGCACATGGGGGGAAATCCCAGAAGAAAAAAAAAAATCCTTTCTTTCCCTCACATACACTTGAACACACAGCAGCCCTTCTCCCCTTCCTCCAAACCAGCTACGTTTTTAGGAAACATCGGTGCCTGCAACTTCTAAAGGTCTTGTAAGCTAATTCTTTCACATAATTAATCAGAACACCTGTGTATGCAAAAAGACAACAAAAGAAAGAAGGTAAGTTGTTCGGATTTAAGTGCAAAGAAAAAAAAGTTTGCCATCATTACAAGAACAAGCAGGTAGACAACTAGGAAAAAACCCACCCAGCTATTGAAAAACTCAGCAGAAGATCATGCCAACTTTACAAAGAGATGCATCCCTGTGTTTCATTTCTTCCCTTTCTGCTTCTTTATAAAATTTGCCCAGTAATGAACCCTTCAACCTTGTTTGGCTTAAAACAACTGATTGTGACGGGAACCCATGCATGCTTCCCTAAATATCTACTACACTAGAACACTTTATAGTGAGATCGTGATATATGCCTCATCCCTTTACAATGTAGTGCTCTCACCTATGCAATTTCTAGCCATACTCATTCTAGTCTATAAATTCATAACATTTTTCAAAAGGAAAAAAAAAAAAGGCAAGAAAAGCAGTGAGTAATGAGGGGAAAAAAAAGGGAACAAAAATTTGTGACGGGTGTTTTCTAATTTCAATTGCCAATAGTTTTCCAATCACAATTACATGTCGTGGACGTGTCAAGAACAATTGACAAATAGACAAGACGAGACTTAAAACATTGGAAACATGTAAATAATAAACATACATTATGTATGTGCATAAAATATAAGGGGGAGATAAAAAGGAGATGACAGTCTTCGGAAGGTTTGCCTTACTGGTGATTCTCACTCAGTTCTAGCAAAAAGTCAGAAACCATAACTGAAGGAGACAGAATTTCACTGCTCATCAATGGTTTCCCCTTCCAAATGATCTGAATCTTGTTGGATGCCCCAAGAGCTGGAGGAATAGGAGAAGAAGAAAGGCAGGTATATTTTCACCCCAAGAAATACCTCTGCTTAGTCTAGTTGTCAAACTGTTCTACCATTTACCTCAGAACAACAAATTATTTGTGGTGCAACATCTATGTCAACATGAGACACATCTCCATTGAGTTTGAGCTGTTCTTCCTCTTTTTCTTCACTTAAATCTTGCTTAATTTCCTCTGACAAATTCTTCTCTTCCGTAGCTATGGTAACTGCATTTTTCTGGACCAAATCTTCAGCTGTAACTTTTGTGTGCTCAACTGGTACATTTAGCTTACTGCCTTCTGGTGAGGCTTCCACATGCTGTATTTTTCCTTCATGTTCTTTCCTTTGCACGTCTTCCTCTTCTTCCTGTTCTTCCCTGATGACTTCCTCAATTGCCCTATGATGTGGCTGGTATTCTCCCACCTCTTCATCCTCACTCTCACTACTACTGCTGCTGCTGCTACTATCTGATGGCAATGATGAAGAGTCCTTTTTTGACAGATGCTCCACCTTACATGTTTCCCCAGCATCAGTGGCAACTTGCATATTCCCTTTGTTGGTTTCGTCTACGACTAGTGTTTCTTCTATCCCAACCTCTGCCTGCTTCTTCTCCTCCACTATGTCCAGAGTCTCATGTGAACTCTGCACAAAAAACACGGATGAGGAAAAACAAAAGTAGAGTATATGAATAAATCAAAATGATGGAAACAAAATTAGCTGATGGCTGGTTCGTGTCATGTAGAAGACAAAAGATGGTTGTGATGGTTAACTGAAAAAGGAAGGAAAGAAAGAATGAAGATGGATTGGAAGAGTTAGAGCCAAATTTAACTATGGAAAAAATCAGTAGAACCTTATCAGCATCGCTGACTCCAGTACAAGGCCCTTCTGTTCTGGAAGCATGTCTCTGTGAAACAAAAAGCAATCAGAGGACAAAAATCAATGCATAACCCTTCTCAACAGTGTAACACCCTCCAAGCAAGCTTTAAAAATGTATATACATGATACTAGACTGATACTAGACTGATACTGTGTACTCACTGCAAGACTCACATAGAACTATGCTCCTTCTACTTTATTGAAACATTCCATTCAAAAGCTGGTAAGAATTATGGACATTATCAATTGGGATAAGAATTTAATTATGAGAGACTGAAAATAGAAGCATGAATGCACTGGCCAGTGATGCTACTGAGGCAGTTATTTCTCTCAGTTAAATCAGGAATTAAGAGTGAATAATATTAAGTAAAAAAAAAAAACCCAAACAAAACCCACTTAGCATTCTACTATCAGTTTATCATCATACAAAATAAAAAAAGACTTAACTGTAAGATTTTATTAGTTGTTCATCTTTGGTCTGTTACTTTATGAAACTTAGTAGGTAACAAGGAGCAGACTGTTTAGGGTGGTATGTTGTCAGAATAGCAATACACGATTACCAAGATGATCCCATTAGGATTCCGTTCGGAGCCAAAATGATGAGATTAAAGCAGTTATATTAGTATTAGTTCCATAACAAAATGATCTGTGATGGATATCCCAGAAAGCCCACCGTAAATTATGTATTAGGTAGCTTTTTTGAGCTAATGTATTTTTAGCGAACGGTTTGCAGCAAAATTTGAGTTCAAACGGTAAGAACAGAAAAATCAACACATCATCTGTGACTTAATCCTAGCTTTTATTGCTGTTTACCAAGCAAAGCGCCGACAGCATAAGCCAGCATTCCTGGTGAAGCTTAAACAAGCACCAATTAACATTTCTCGGGCGCCGCAGATACAGAATTAAGCTCTCTAGCTGGACCTCTCTCCCCTCTCATACAAGCAAGCAGCTTACCGGCTCCGACACACGGGAAGTGAGCTGCAGGCCACCTTTCTGGCATTTTTAAGGCGTTGGGGGTCGGAGATTAATCTTTAGGCGGGATGGGGACGGGAGCCTAACCCCCGTGGCCAGCTAACCCCCACCGTCCCGAAGC